ATTTATATTTTATAATATAAATTTTTAGAAAATTATATTTCTGAGAAAAATAATAAAGATGCCTGAGTGTTTGTAAGCTACAGTTTGCCTCCAAAAGACTGACATTTTTTAACAAAATCAGAAAGTAGAAGGACCTAGATGGTAGCAGTAAGAAGAGGGTTTTTTGGGCCACTTCAGCAGCCATGAGCTACATAGGAAAAACTTTATTTTAACTTCTTAAATCCAACTAAGGATATTTTTTTTAAATGAATGAAAAACAAACTTCAAACCAATAGCAGATGGAGCACAAAGGTGGAACTACACGATTCCCCTGAGGTTACTGAATCAATCTCTGTTGAATCTGAGAAGAGCATTCGGTGCTTTTAAAGTTCAGCTTCGCTGTCCAGATCTATATGTTTTTATTACAGTCTATGTTCAGATGTTTGTTCTCTACCAAAGTTTGACATTTTTTCCAATAGGTCTTTCACTTCTTGTCGCCTCAACCTCTTTAGCTCTGTTAAAAGACCATGGTTATTAGTGCTGAGAAGAATCCAGATGCAATAGGTTAGGAAGCAGGGTTAAGCAATTGTTTTTCCTTGACTGCATGTAAAATGCATGTTGGCTGCATCTTAGGAAAAAGTTGTGTGGCCTGTTTTAAACTATGATTAGGCACCAGGTGACGAAAAGAAAAGATGCTAGGATGGGAGAGCAAAAGAATTGCCTGGGACGATCTGTCCTAAAGTCATGGGATTCGCTTAAATCTCAAATATAAATATTAAAGTGTTTTTTAAAATGAATTAAAAGTAATGATCTTGCTGTTATAGCAACCTATTAAATAAGTTCTCTGAGAGCTTGTCAGCATTAACTTGCAGGATAATGGATGAACAAAGTCTCCCCAGAACTTTAAGGATCAGCTACAATCTCTGATGGGTTTTACAGCCCAGGCAGGAACAGATAGCAGGAATGGATGAAATGCTGGCTCCCTCTAGAGGAGATCAATGGTTTTCATCTCTTGATGGGAGATGTTTGCTAATGCATCTGGCTGGGATCGCTACAGCAAAGCGTTTCTTCTGCTTCTGTTACAGACTCTTTGAGTATCGCGGAAGAGTCTCTCCCATCCCCAGGATGATTCCTGTGAAGCGGCCACGAGTCACCATCCCTTTAGTACGGCGTGTCAAAGCAACTATCCCCGTCAAGCTCTTTGCCAGATCTGCTGCTCTTGTGAACAGTTCAGCCAAATTAAAATGTAAGTTTCATGCTATTGTGCAGAGATAATGTTTGTAATGGTTTCAGACTTGCCTTTGAAATGAAATGCACAAGGGCAGACACGCATAGCAAATATAATTACTAATGAGTATTTTATGTATTATAAAACATTGTGTTTTTATTTTATTGAATTTATTACGATAGCTGCTTCCTATATAAGCACTCAAGGCTGCTTGCAACAATAAAACAAAAACACAAACATGAGAGTGAAAGCAATACAATTAAAATCAAAATTAAAATCAGTATCATTAAAATCAATACTTCAAAGCTTGGTGAAAAGATGCATTGTTTCCTTTTCTCTAAATATTAGGAGGGTGTGGGTCAAACATTTCTCCCTGGAAAGAGCATTCCACCATCCAGGAACCACAGAGAAGAAGGTCCTCTCCTGTGAACCAGATAGCTAAGTTTCTGGAGTGTGGGCATGTAATGGGCTATGAGAGTAACCTTGAGGAAGAGGAGGAAGAGCTGCAGCCAAAGCAATGGTCAGATAAGAGAAATCTGAGTCCAAAGGAGGAATGGAATTTGGGAAAACATCTCAGACTTGACCCTCCCTAGTTCTCTTTAAGATAAAGGCAGCGAGGGGGGAGGCACATTCAGAGTTGCAAGATTCTGTTTCTGTAACCCTATAATAAAAGTAGTTTTAGTATTCATAACTTTGGTGTTCAAGTCTGGTCTACCTCAAAGGGCTGGCATCAATCTTGCAACTCTTAATACTATCTTTCTAGAGAAAGCAGAAGATCCTGCTTTGGACTCAGTTTGCTCTTATCTGACCATTGTCTTGGCTGCAACCCTTCCTCCTGTTCCTCAAGGTTATTGTCACAGCTCATTACAGGGCATCTTCAAAAGGGCCTCACCTACTGATTTAACTAACATAGCAGGAGAAGCAGTCCTTTAGATAGAACTGTAGAGGTGAAAGGGTCAATTTATAGCAGCGTTTTTCAACCCTGGCAACTTTGAAATATGTGGACTTCAACTCCCAGAATTCCCCAGGAAGCCATGCTGGCTGGGGAATTCTGGGAGTTGAAGTCCACATATCTTAAGGTTGCCAGGTTTGAAAAACACTGATTTATGCTATCAAGTCCAACCCTCTGCCCAGTGCATGTATCCCAATTAAAATATTCCAGACAGGTGGCTGTCTAAGCCTCTATTTGAATGCATCCAAAGAAGAGAAGTCCATCATCTTTCCTAGTAATTGATTCCATCATTAAACTGCTCTTAGTATCCGGAAGTGTTTTCTAATATTCAGTTGGAATCTGCCTCCTGGCAACTTAAACTTGTTATTCTGTACTCTGGAACAAAAGAGAACAGGGCTTGAGCTTCTATATAGCATTGTTTGGAGTATTCAAAGAGCACTATCATATCTAACTTTTGCTGTATTTTCTCAAGACTAAACATATTTCTTCATAGGACTAAGTTTCTAGCATCCTGATCATCCAACAGCACCTATATCTTGTCTGGATTTAATTTCAGTGCTCTTTGATCTAGACTAGTGTTGTCCAAACTTGGCCACTTTAAGATGAGTGGACTTCAACTCCCAGAATTGCTGGGGAATTCTGGGAGTTGAAGTCCACACATCTTAAAGTTGCCAAGGTTGAGAAACACTGATCTAACCATTACCAAAATGCTGGGGAATTCTGGGAGTTGAAGTCCACACATCTTAAAGTTGCCAAGGTTGAGAAACACTGATCTAACCATTACCAAAATGCTGGGGAATTCTGGGAGTTGAAGTCCACACATCTTAAAGTTGCCAAGGTTGAGAAACACTGATCTAACCATTACCAAAATGCTGGGGAATTCTGGGAGTTGAAGTCCACACATCTTAAAGTTGCCAAGGTTGAGAAACACTGATCTAACCATTACCAAAATTGAGCAATGTTCCTGGGAGTCAGATAGTAAGGAGTAGTAGAGTTAGGTTCACTAGCTTTCTGATGGTACCACTCTCCAAACCCACAAAGCCTTCCCCTAGCAGTTTCATATAGATGACCTAGGTGGCAAATATTAGTCTCCCAGACCACCTTCTGAATATATCCAGTCAGGAAAATCCTGAACCACTGCAAAAAAAAGAAGAAAAAGAAAAAATCCAACAGTGCTAGATAGCCCAGAAGGACATCATGGTCAATGGTTTCACAACCCAGCAGAAATCTAGGAAAACTGGCAAGGTTGCATTCTTCCTGTTGCAGTTTTCAGCATAGTTTGTCCACTAAGGTGACTAAAACATTATCAGTACCATCTTCCAGACAAAACCCCAGATGAAATGGGCCCAGATAATCAGTTTCATCCAAAGGCATCTGGAGCTGTGAGGGCACCACTTTCTTAGTCACCTTACCTAAGAATAGAATATTTGAGACTGGCTCACGAATAAGAGACCATTCAGGTCAAGGAAAGGCTTTTTTAATAAAGATCTTAGAACTGTTTCTTTAAGCAACCGGGAGCATATTTCATACCCAAGGAGGCATTGATCACATCCATTAACCATGGGGCTAGTCCCAACCTGGCTGATTTAATCCATTAGTATAGGCAAGGGTAGAGCAAGCTGATAATGATCTCTCCCAATTCTCTGTCCACATTCTTGAGAGTTAAGAACTGAAAAGAATCATATGAACAGGACAACTGGTTGCTTTTCATTTATTTATTAATATCACACTTTCTGCCCTCAGAGCAATAGTTGTAAAAATACAATTAAAATATACTGTTATAAACAATGTCAACAACAAATAAATGGAGCATTAAAAAATAGAATACATACTGACCACCGAGCAAAGGAAAAAAATACATTAAGCTAAATACTTGGTGAAAGACAAAAATATTTGAAATGCACAATAGGAGGAGCCAACTGGGTCTCTCTAGCACAATGTTTCTCAACCTTGGCAACTTTAAGCTGTTTGGACTTCAACTCCCAGAATTCCCCAGCCAGCCATGCAGTTGTTTGGTAACTATGGCCAGAAAGATTTGAATTCAAACTGTCACTGAGTAGCAGAAGACTAAATGGTTGGAGGAAGGAATACATGCTCTTGGTTGAGCTTCTTACAAATAAGGCGATGTTCAAATTATCATCTCTGTTTTAATATTGAACTAATTCTTAAACCAATGCACCTTATTTGAACCATACTGCACCCTTCATGCACAAGACTTTTGGGAAAAAATAAATAGGAAAGCACTACTTTCCTCCTTTCCTGAGGAGGAAAGTAAAACAGTCCAGTGAGTACAGAGTATGCCCAGCTTTGCCAGCATAGAAGATTGAGTGAAAATTCTAGGAAATTAAAGGCTGGGAAGTGAGGGGTTGCAAATGGTGTGTCTTGAAAAAAACAATAAATAGAAGAGAAGAGGAGCTCAAGGTTGAACTGTGGAGTCCTTGGGGTTCTCTGAGCTTGGTTGTTTTCTTGCAGACATTTTGTTACCTGGCTAGGTAACATCTTACTAGTGCACTGAAGGTGTTATCTAGCTGGGTAATGAAACATCTGCAAGAAAACAACCAGCTCAGAGAACTGCAAGGACTCCACAGAAAAAAGGAATGAGTGGATAGAGTCCAAAGGAGTCGTGCATCCTTCAGCAAGAGCTGACTTATGAGGCCATCTGCCCCAAATAGCCTACCTGGACACAAGAGGGAGGTATCAGTGGGCTCGGGGAATACAGAGCTTTGCAGAAAAGAAATACATTGGTTAAAAAAAATCCAAGGAGGGCAAAAAGAAAGAAAGAAAGAAAGAAAGAAAGAAAGAAAGAAAGAAAGAAAGAAAGAAAG